ATGGACGGTGTTTGTGAATGGCTTGCCTTAAGTCAATGGCTTACTTATCGTAAAATCAATGAATTGCCGTACGTAGAAATAGCACACAGTGAAACGCGTTTATTAGCGATATTTACAAATTGCTTAGATTAAAACGTATTAATGGGTCCAATAGCATTGATGAATCACGTACCTTAAATGTATTTAATTCTTTGATTCCACAGCAGTGTTTATGACTGGCTTACATTAGCATGTATTTATTTAATTTATTTATCTATTGGCATTTATGAACCACTTATATTAACATGAATGCATGTAATGATTCATTTATTTAACAACCTTTATGAATCATTTCCATCAAAATGAATGCATTTAATTATGCATTTAGCAGTGTTGATTAATTACTCACATTAAAAGAAATGTGTTTATTCCTTCAACATTTATGAATTGCTTGCATTAAAATAAATTTACACCATTGATTAGCAATATTAATCATTTAACAAGATTTATGAATGGCTATATTAATTTTATTTTAATTTAATTAAACATGCTTAGGGATGAATTTGTTGTTGTTATGTCTTGCTTTTTCTTATTCTTCCATTGACTTTCCCTAACTGTCTTCTCTGTCTGGCGTTCTCAGGATTGTCCAAGGTACAACAGCCTCAGTTTTTCATTTTTTGCTTCCAGGGAAACATCTGGCTTGATGCTAGATGAGTTGGCACCTGTGTTATTTCAGTGCTGGGGAATTCCATACTAAAGGCCTTTTTCTGAGCCATTGGAGACTGAAATCTTTGACACCACAAGGAAGATCCCTCACTGCTGATGGTTTCCCGATTAGGTTTTTTTCTCTGCCTTTTCCCCAGCTCAATAATGTCCTTATTATTGGCATCCAGAACTGAACACAATATCCCAAGCATGATGCCACCAAGGTTCTGTATAAGGGGAGTAAGATCTTGGGAGTTTTATTTTCAGTTCTTTTCCTAATGATGCCTGGCATGGAGTTTGCCTTTTTCACAGCACAGCCGACATTTTCATTGAGCTGTCCACTGTCACCCCAAAATCCCTTTCCTGCTCACTCACTGCTAGCTCAGATTCCATCAGCCCATACTTGAAATTGGGATATTTTGCCCTAACATACACCACTTCCTGTTTTGAGGTTACCAACGCATGGACCACAGCGGCAAATGTTAGGACTGTGGGAAAGGGAGGCAAAGGATTAATGTGTTGGAGTCCTGACAGAGGCTCAGTCCTTTGCACTTTCTCCCAAAACCAAACCAGAGGAAAAAGCCTAAAACCCCCCACACACCCTGCTCAAAGTCTGAGTTACATGACCAAGGTGATTTGGACTTTCCATGTAGGCAGCATTACACCTCTGGGTCCTTTCTGCACTACACCTGGGGTTCTACACAGGTGTGGTCAAAGTAGGTATGACCTTAAATATGTGCCTTGCATCTCTGTCTTTTCCCCTCCCTTTTTCAGTCTAGAAGGGATGCAGGGTGACCTGCACAGGTCAGTCTCTTGTATGTGTGTAGCCAGCTGGTCAAATCTGGCCTTTCGAAGGTCCCAATCCAGCTCTTCTGCATTCCCCAGGGAACCACACCTGGACATACCCTCTTCCCACTAGCCACTGGTTTTGGGGTCGGTTTCTTGTGCTTGTTCAGCCCTCCCCCCTTTAAAATGTTAAAAGGTCTTCCCTTAGGCAAAGATCCTAGCAAATAGCAGGTCTGAGTTGGTAAAATATGCCACAACATTTGTAGTTTTGCCCACCCCTTTTGCCTCTGGGTCTGCCCCCCACTGAAACACGGCCCCCGAAAGTTTCTTCGAAATGTGATTGGGCCCACGGGCCTGCCATGTGCTAAACACCCCTGAAATAACACCTGTGTCAGCCCATTCTGAAACCTGCTGTCCTTCTCTGACCCCCAGGGAGAAACCTCTGTCAGCCCAACTTGAATACAGTCGCTCTGTTCACACCTCCTTGGCTTCACCTGCGCCCCTGAAATTTTAGGTGCGGCCAAGGGGTAGCCAGCATGAAAATGGAGCCGCAAAACTCAACAGGATGCAGGCAAGGCGAAGGCTGCCAGGGGAACAGAAAAGACCTCCAGGCTGGAAGTCTTGGAGGGGTCCACCAGGGAACCCCCGGAGCAAACCTGGTGAAAGAGGAACCTTGCGAAGGCCTCCTGCAGTGGCAGCAGGTCCTGAAGACGGCGGGGTCCCCTCAGCCGCACCGGGCCATCCCAGCACTGCTGGAACAGCATAAACCGTGGGGCAACCCCAAGGCCTTCTTGGCTACCTTTGAGGAAGTGGCTGGCACCTGCCGTTGGCCCAGAGAGGAATGGGCAGCCCAACTTCTGCCTGCCCTCAGTGGAGGAGCCAAGCAGGCCTTCAGCAGCCTGGAGGCCCGAGACAGAGAGGATTATGGGAAGGTGAAGGCGGCCATCTTGCGGTGGGACGGCCAGAGGAGGGAGAGGCAACGCCAGCGCTTCAGGAGCTTCTGTTACCAGGAGGCTGAGGGGCCGAGAGGGGCTTGCAGGCGACTCTGGGAACTTTGCCAGGGGTGGCTGAAGATTGAGAGGCACAGCAAGGAGCAGATCCTGGAGTTGTTGGTCCTGGAGCAGTTCCTGGCCATCCTGCCCCCAGAGACACAGAGCTGGGTCAGCCAGTGGGGCCCAGAGACGTGTGCCCAGGCGGTGGCTCTGGCTGAGGACTTCCTACAGAGCGATGCTGAAAGGATGGAGACACAGGTGAGGATGGGGGCAGCTGATCAGGTATGGACCAGAATCGCTGTGCTAGGAAAGTCAGATCCCTGGGCAGTACAAAAAAAGCTCTGAAGTTCTCTCAAGAGATCCTACGAGACAAGGACAAAGGGCACCCTTACCTGTTAGAACATTTTTCAACTGAGCAAACATAACATTGCCGAACTCGCATGTCTGCTCAGAAATAAACCCAAATGCAAGGACTCTCATGTCTGCAAAGGGACAGCCTGACTTTATGCAGTGTGCCCCAGGTTTAATTGCCTTTAAATACCCTCTTATCTCTCCTGATCAGGGATAATCACAGAAGTGGTTTGTGGGCAGGCTGGGGAAAATCTGGGGACGGCATCTGGCTCATAGGTTGGCAGTTCCCCATCCTTGGAGCATGTGTGTCCTGGAACCTTCCTAGAAAATTACTCTCTTCCCCTGCTCCAGGTACTGACGCTGCTCGCCGAAGCTGCTGGCAGTTTTTCTGAGGTTGGGAAGGATCCCACTAATACCAGATCGAGGCAGCTCTTTGCACCAACCAAGACGGAGGAGGACGGCTTGCTAGGTAGGGGCTGCTCTGCCTGAATCCTTGGGCAAGGTGGAGTTTCCAGGACCTGGGTCGGTTAACCGTAACCTAACCCCAAGCCCAAGCATAAAATCAGTTTTTACTCTGCATTTATGCCTGACTACGGTTGGTGTGGGCCTGCTGTTGTTTTTATGTTATGTATACTTGATTTTATATTTTAATGTTAATGATCTTGTTATTTGGTGCTTTATTTTATGTTCTTGGTTATTTGGTTTCTGCAAACCTCCTAGAGAGCCGTTTTCGGCATATGGGAAGTATAGAAATCAATCAGTCAATTAATAAATTAATAATGCCATTCTAGGACATGCAGTTTCCTTCCCAATGTGGTCTTGTTTTTCTCCTGGCAAAAGTCTATTTTACTTCTGCGCTTGGGATTCTTTCTTTTCTCCAGGTGCCAAAGGGTGTATGAACATGTGCGAAGAGGAAAAATTCACACCAGATGGTTTGGAGCACCTGCGGCTGCCTATGGGGACAGCAGAAGAGAGTGTCTCCCAGTGGGGTAAGAAGGAGAACTTCTCCAAGAAGAGTCACAGAAGAGAGATCTGGCAGGAAACCTTGAGGCCATTATATGTAGATGAGACCACAGAGGTGTCAGCTGTCTTCTCTCATCCCCCTCCATCTTCCTCTCCCCCACCCTCCCTCCTCCTCCTCCTTTATTACATTTCTATACTGCCCACAAAAGGGATGCAGGTGGCGCTGTGGTTTAAACCGCTGAGCTGCTGGGCTGGTTGATCAAAAGGTCGCCGGTTCGAGTCTGCACAACGGGGTGAGCTCTCGTTGCTCCGTCCAGCTTCTGCCAACCTTGTGGTTCGAAAGCATGCAAATGCAGGTAGATAAAAAGGTACCACTTCGGTGGGCAGGTAACAGCATTCCGTGCACTTTGGTGTTTAGTCATGCCGACCATGGAGACTGTCTGCAGACAAACGCTGGCTCCCTCGGCCAGGAAACGGAGATGAGCACCGCCCCCTGGAGTCAGGCCTGGCTGGAGTGAACACCAAGGGGAAACCTTTAACTTTTATACTGCCCACAGCCAAGGCTCTCTGGGCAACCTACAAAAGCTATAAAAACAATAATATACAATAGATAAAAACAGCTAAGAAGAATTAAACATTAACTGAAACCATCATAAAAGCATTTAAACAGCAAAAGATAATGAAAAAGGCCCGGCCAAGAATAAAAGGCAGAATGGCTGGGATGGGGAGGAGCTATGAAGTCAGTGCACAAGCAGGTCCTGTGCCCTCAGCCTATGCAGATATCGAGGGCCAACTATACATGATCCTGCTTACATACAAATTCAACCTAAAGATGCATTTCTGTTCTCTCAGGAACAGAAGTTGTTTGTAACCTTGAGACTGTCTGTACATACATATAAACAGCTATTATTTGCAATGTTTAGATGCAAAATACCCCACCTGCTAGAGAACAGGAACCTGACAGGGCCATCGCCTTTGCGTGCAAACATTCCCCTTTCTGTTTCTTGCCAGAGGCTTGGCTGCTGCCCAGATGGCCTGTGTTCTTTTCATGCAGGTTGGCTTTGTTTCTTTTCTTCTAGCAGATTGCAGGCCAGTGAGAACATGCGAAGGACAGCACGGTCAGCAACCAAGTCTAGAGCAAGTGGACTGGTATGGGATGACGCCAGGAAGCTCAAGGGACAGCCCTTCCCTCCTGAGCCCCAGAAGAGCTCAAATGGATAAGACATCATATCAGTGCACCGAGTGCGGGAAGAGCCTCAGTCGTAAGGACAACCTCACAAGGCACCAGCAGATGCATGCAGGGAAGCAGAAACCGCACCAGTGCTCTTCCTGCCTGAAAACCTTTCGGGACAAGTCACACCTGATTAGGCATGAAAGGATCCACACAGGAGAGAAACCCTTTAGCTGCTCCATCTGTGGGAAGAGCTTCAGCTGCAGTTCATACCTTATTGTACATGAGAGAATCCACACGGGGGAGAAACCTTACGCTTGCTCCGTTTGCGGGAAAAGCTTCAGCTGTAACTCGTACCTTCTCAGACACAAGAGAATGCACACAGGGGACAGGCCATACAAATGCCCCATGTGTGGGAAGAGATTCACTTGCAGCTCAAACCTGATTTTGCACAAACGGACCCACACTGGGGAGCGTCCGTACAAATGCTCCTCCTGCCCAAAAACTTTCCGTCAGAGGTCACACCTTATTTTTCACGAGAGAATCCACACAAAAGAGAAGCCGTTTAAGTGCTCGGTCTGTGGAAAGAGCTTTGGCCGCAATGCACAGCTTATTCAGCACAAGAGGAGCCACACGGGAGAGAAGCTCTACAAATGCTCCGTCTGTGCGAAGAGGTTCAGCTGCATGTCATACTTGATTCAGCACACAAGGATCCACCAGCGGGACAAGCCCTACAAGTGCTCAGAGTGTGGGAAGAGCTTCCGGCGGAGCGCGGAGCTTTCTTCACACCAGAGAATCCACACGGGGGAGAAACCATACCGATGCTTTGAGTGCGGAAAGACCTTCAGCTGGAGTGCTGGCCTTACCTCACATCAAAGAACACACATGGGTGAAAAGCCATACAAATGCTCTGACTGTGGGAAAAGTTTCAGTCGTAAACGGCTGCTCCTTGTGCACAGCAATAACCACACGGAGGAGAAACTTTTTTAAGCACTGTGCTTATGGGAGAGCTCCAGGTGAACTGCACAACTTCATAGACGTGAAAAAACCCCGGGGAAACCATACCAATGTGTTCTGTGGTCTAATCTTTACGGGACCTCTGACAGAGTGCGGTCACTCAACAAAGAAACCTTTGTTGATTGGTTGTATTATTTTGTCCAATAATCAGAGGATCGAGGAAGTAAAGTACCATTCAGTGAAGTAACCAATTTTTCACAGATAAGTGACGGTTCGCCAAAGAAGTTTCAAATAAATTATCCTGGAATACTTGGCTGTCCTAGATAGGTGTATCCAAGTTCTTTCTTACAGGAAGTTCAGTCTTCAGGGCTGGGATGGGATGGAGTGACCCTAGCTGAAGGGTTGCATGCTTGGCATGTGGAAGATTATTGGTTCAGTCCTCACCGCTTGCCTCTGAACTGTGGTGAGGAACACGTGAATGTTCAGATGCTGCTGGGACTCAGCTCCCATGATTCCTACGTGTTGGGCATGCTGGCTGGGACTCGTAGAACTTGGAGTCCAGGAGCATCCGCTGGGTGGGCCAAACCCGACTGCAGTTCTTCCCTCCAAGAATTCCTGGGCCTCCCCTTGTGTCTGGCCCAGCCTTTCAAGGTGAACTGAACTGAGAGGAGGTCTGTGAATGCCCATAGAATGAAGATTGTGCTACTGGCAGTTTTATTCTCTAGCTGCACCTGGCATGGAAGAGGAATGTTGTTTGCAGAGCCCATGGGGTTCGATTCCTGGCAAGCTCCCAGCAAACACACGTTCACCACACACTCAGGCTTCGGGCTGCCACGAAGCAGACGGAGTCTGGAGAACCAAGCCCAGGACGGATTCCCACTTCCCACCAGTTGCACTGGTAGCACTGTCTTTCCCCGAAACTTGTGCACTCCAATTTCTGAGGGATGGGTGGTGGAAACCTGGATATCACACATCAGTTTCTGGCTTCGTTTTTTAAAAGTTAGTTAGCTTAGGAGCTTACATTTTGTTTCTTATTTTTCATAGAATCATAGAATAGTAATGTTGGAAGGGGCCATGAAGGCCATCGGGTCCAAGTCCCTGCTGTTGCAGGACACCAAGTCGCACCATCCCACTCAGATGGCTGCCCAGTTTCTTTTTGAAGGTCTCTGTTGTGGGAGAGCCCCCCACCTCTCTAGGCAGCTGGTTCCACTGTCTTATTGCTGTGACAGTGAGGAAGCTTTTCCTGATATCCAGCCTGAATCTGGGTTGTCGCAAGTTGGCAAGTTGAATTGATTATTCTGTGTCCTACACTCTGGCATCAGCAAAAAGAGATCCTGACCTTCCTCTTTGGGGCAGCCTTTGAGGTACTTATAGAGGGAAGCCATGCCCCCCCCCCACAGTCCTCTCTTCTCAAGGCTGAACATGCCTAATTCTCTCAGTCCCTCCTCAGGACAGTGCTTCCAAACCCTGATCATTTTTGTTGCCCTCCACTGGACCCTTTCTAATTTACCTGCATCTTTCTTAAATCTTGGTGCCCAGAACTTTTAATGAAGATTGTCTCTGTTGGTCATAATGTAAAAAAAGATTAATCACACCAATGGCCTTTTGTAGGTGTTTGAACCTCAGCTCCATGGGCTAAATCCTGCTCACGCAAGGTCCCAGTCCAGCCCCTCAGCCTTCCTCATGTCCTTTTCCCACTAACCCCCAATTCTTTGACAATTCCCTTACTTTAGTTTCCTCCATCTCAATTCTAAAGGATTCAATGCTTTTCTCAGGTTTGGTTATGGGTAATAAGAGCTTTAAGGAAAAGTTTGGGTGTCTTTGCCCTACCCCTGATGCACTGGGGGACACCCCTTTTCGCCTTCAAGCCTGCCCAGTATGGGAATGAAGTCCTACTGGGAACTTCATCCAAAATCGAACCCAGTTCTCTGGGTGAAAGAGGCTCCATGCTTCTGGTCTATCAAGGCCAACCATGGGCAAAGCTGCCTGCCAACTAGACTGCATGTCTTTCCTGGTAGCCCGATCCTTCCCATCTGGAACATGACTCCAGCCCCAGGAAGATTTCCTCCTTGAGGTCTAGTAACATCAGGCTTAGTGCATTTGGGCAGCCATCTGAGCGCCCTGCTCAGCAGAGGACAAACGGGGTCCCTAAACCAGGGATATTTTAAAAATGGAGGTCCTTGAAAGGGCAATACCAAAGGTGGCTAGGTAACAAGAACATAAACACAGGAAAAGCTGGATCAGACCAGGGGTCCATACACACACTGGCAAACAAGCTGCCCTCAGGATCTCTCAGGATAGGTGCAAGACCTCTTCTTGCAAGCTCCTCAGCAACTGGTGTGTGCAGGCATGATGCTTCTGATGAAGGGGGGAGCACATGGCCAGCAGCGCTAGTAGCCACAGATATCCGCCGCCGCCTCCTCTATGAATCTGTCCAATTCCCTTTTAAAGCCTCCAGATTGGCTGCCATCACCACTTCCCATGGCAGCAAATTCCATAGTTGAACTATATGATGTGTGAAAAAGGACTTCCTTTTATTTGTCCTAAACCTCCTGCTCATCAGCTTCATGGGATGACCCCAGGTTGGAGTGCTATGAGACAGGGAGCCACCAAAACTTGCAGACAACTCTGAGAGGACGTGAACGGTAGGATCTTGAAGTTTCAGGTGCAAAATCACCCAGCTGGCAGAAAAGATGGTCATGAGTTCCCCCCATTTTTGCTACCCTTCCCTGATGGCTCTCCATGTGCAGAGAACACCAGGCAGTGACCTTTAGCAAGGCTGCTGTGGCACGTGAGAGGGATGCCTGCACAGTGGCACTGAAATGACACGTGGCCAGAGGAAAGAGCAAGCAGGTGAACCCTAAAAGGGCCACTTTTGGTCCCCTGGGCCTGAAGTTCTGCATCCCTGCTCTTGAGTGGCTCAGGCCTCCCGTGGCATTGTGCAGTGGAGCTATTTTAAATAAAACGAATGGATAAAATCAGTTCGAATAAATGAAATCGATTGGAAGGCATAAAGTCCATCCCTTGGCAGAAACTGACTTCTTGCAAAAAGGGCGTTCTGAATTTCCTCTTGCGTCTGCCCCATCTCTGCAGAGCAGCTTCTCCCATCCCCCTGGGAAGCCGTCCTGGAGCTTCCTCACGTTTATTTCTTAACGCAACCCGAGGAAGAAAGTCTGTGTCTTTCTGAGCATGTTTCCTTGGCTCTAATGAAATGATTCTCAGCCCAGCCTCCCTCACAGGGTTGTTGTTTTTGTTGTTGTGAGGATACAATGGAGCTATGTACGCTGCTTTGGGTTCCTCGGGTGGAGTAAAAATGCAATGGGATGATGAGATGCGGATGCTGATTCTGTTACTGCCCGATGCCCTCCAGGAGTTAAAACCACTGAGTTCCCAGGAGGACCTCCCTGATTCCTGATTACAGAGGGGCAAGAGGAAGTGGTAACCGCGGATGTAAACATAATAGACCCCTTTCCTGTTCCGTCCCTTTTCTCCCTCCCCCCGGAAACTGACTTTTGGGGGGCTTGGGATGCATTTGGGGGATTACTTTTTCTCTTCCTCCCTTCAGTTATTACACGATGAGCTTATGGAAGTTCTGAGTGAGAAGCCTGAATGTGAGAAATTGGGTGAGTTTTTTTTTTTTAGAAATGTTATCAGGAAGCTCAATGAAAGGAGAGGATTTGCCCCTCCAAATTCTAGGAAGGGGTGGATGGGCTCCCTCCCCCCGCTTCGCTTCCCAGCGGCTGTGCTGGCTGGAGCAGATGGGCACTGTAGTCCAGCCACATCTGCAGGGCCCATGCTCCCCACCCTTGGACTCTGAGCTCCTGCAGAGGCAACCCACGTGCCTCTGGATCGGCACCACTCCAGGCAAGAGGAAGGATCCCCCAGAAGCCTCGGGCTGCAAGGGCTGCGTGAGCCCCACCGGTTGGGGGGCTCCCCCAAGGCCTAGTCAGCCGAATGCATCCCCTGGGGGTGGGGGAACCTCTGCCAGGGAAGGCTAGCAGGGGCATCCTGCAGAAGAAGCTGAGCCTAGTTTGCCTCCCCCCCTCCAAGCAAGTCTACCTTTATTTATTTCTCTTATGCTCTTCGTTTTTTTTACCAGATGTCTGAGGTGGTTTATGTACTCCTCCTCCTCAATCTATCATCACAACAGCCCTGTGAGGTAGGTTTGGCCAAGACTCCAGCTCCAGCTCCAAGCCTCCCACCAAGCTTTGAGGCTGAGAGGGAACTAGAACCTGGGTCTCTCACAATAGCCCTGTGAGGTAAGCCAGGGCGAGAGTCAGTGGCTGGCCCAAACTCACCCAGGGAGCTTCATGGCCTATTGGGGATGAGAACTCAGATCTCCCAGGTTCTCAGACCAACACTCTCATCACCACCCTACACTAGCTTAAGATTGTAAGCCAGAGGATGTTCATGTACCGTGAGAGGTGTAGTCCGCATGTAACATGGGATGAACATGTAACTGTTGAGCTTAAAAAATGGTGAGGATGGGCAGACAGGAGACAGGTGTTTAAAATTATACATGGTGTCAAGAAAACGCTCTCCCAAAACACTTGAACCCAAAGGGGTCATCCCATGAAGCTGATTGATGGGAGGTTTAGGACCCATGAAAGGAAGAACTTCTGCACACAGCATATAGTTCAGCTATGGAATCCGCTGCCATTGCTCTCCTTCCTTCCACAGCCTTCCTCATCACTCTCCAGCTGAGTTAAAATTCTGTCAATCTATTTATTCTCTTTCTTTCCTAAGGACGCCAAGGCGAGGGAGAAACTCGCTTGGGCCTGCATTTAGCAACTGTATGAAAAAGAAAAACTCGCAGCTGAGAGAGGCTTGCCTGGTGCTGACTGATTAATGAAGCTGATGGGTGGGAGGTTTAGGACAGATAAAAGGAAGGCCTTCTTCACCCAGTGTGTGGTTAAACTATGGAACTGGCTGCCACAGGAAGTGGTGTTGGCTGCCAATCTGGGTGGCTTTGAAGGGGGACTGGACAGATTCATAGGGGAGGAGGAGACCACCCGTGGCTACTAGCCCTGCTGGCCATGTGCTCCCTCCTTCACCAGAGGAGGTGGATCTTCATGTGCTGAGGTGCTTGGCAGGTGGAAGCCTTGCTTCTTTCCTACTGGAGGGGTTGTGTGGGCAACTGGTTTCCCTCTGTGCGTATGGAGCACTGGACTAGATGGACCCCTGGTCTGATCCAGCAGGGCTTTTCTTATGTTTGTTTATTTATGTAAAACATTCTTATGCCGCCCCCATCGCAACAAAGCCTCGGGGCGGCTTACAGTGGGATTTGTAACTCAGTGTATTTTTTTGTATTTTTGTATTTAATGGTAATTTATTATGTTCTATTGTACTTCAATGTATTTTATTGTGTTGTAAGCCGCCCCGAGGTTTCGGCAAGGGGCGGCATAGAAATGTTATAATAATAATAATAAAATAATAATGTTCTTCTCAGCAGTCTTCTGAAGTCGGACAGGCTGATAGTCAACAACTGAGCCAAAGTGGGCTCCGTGGGCAAGTGGGGACTGGAGCCCAGGTCTCTAACCACTACGCCCCACTGGCCCTTAAAAAATAAAGGGAATGTTTGCTTCTCGATGGGCTCAGAAATGGAAAGTGTTCACTTGTGTCCATGCCTCTTTTTCTCCCCACAGGAAGAAAGTTCCCTGTGTCTGTAACCTCCTGAGTGTGTTTCTTCTTAACCAACAGAGGTTGCTGCCTATTTGGAAATGGAAGACCCGCTGTTTGGCCTCAAATTGGTAGAAGGGCCGGAGGGAGCAGGGAAAACCCCTCAAGTTGTTCAGACGGGGAGCATTGGGAAAGTCCTCAGAAAATCATCAGCGCAGCAAAAGGTGAAACAAGAGCCGGGTGAGGGGATCCTTCAGAGCTGGGAAGCTCAGTGGCAGCAGTTCCTGAAGGAAGTGGAGTCGCCTCACTCTGGATGGGGGATCACACAGCTGCCGGAGGAGCTCACGCCCTGGGATGACACGAAGGCCTTCCTGGCCTCCTTCGAGCAAGTGGCTGAGGCCTGCCGGTGGCCCAGGGAAGAGTGGGTGGCCCGGCTCCAGCCAGCCCTCAGCGGACAGGCGGAATGGGCCTACCGCGTCCTGGAAGCCCGAGACAAGGAGGATTATGGGAAGGTGAAGGCAGCCATTTTACGAGGGGATGCCCTCAGCAGGGAAAAGCAGCGCCAGCACTTCCGGCGTTTCTGCTACCAGGAGGCTGATGGGCCGAGAGGGGCCTATAGTCAGCTTCAGGAACTTTGCCATCGGTGGCTGAAGATCGAGCAGCACAGCAAGGAGCAGATCTTGGAGCTGCTGATCCTGGAGCAGTTCCTGACCATCCTGCCATCAGAGGTCCAGGGCTGGGTCAGGGAATGTGGCCCAGAGAGCTGTTCCCAAGCAGTGGTCCTGGCTGAGGACTTCCTGCGGAAGCAGCAGGAAACCAAGAGGTGGGAACAACAGGTGAGAGTGTAAGTCCCACTTATCTGGCAGGATACAGTTCATGTTGGTTGCCAGATTTCCGTGTGGGAAACAAGAACTGCAGACCACCATGAGATGCTCCCAGGCTGTGCTTCTTAGAAAAAAAAAAATCTTCAGTAAACTGTATCCAGAAATGTAACTGATTCCCCTCACTGGCAGGTATAGTGCTTTTTGTGGGTCTAGAGCGTCCTTTGTTCCTTCCGAACTTGGACCTGTGACACCACTATGTGTAATATAGGATGCACTCTGTGTGTGTGTGTGTTTGTGAGTGTGGTGCTCTGTGTGTGATTTTTGATCACTTTTTAAATATGTGCAAAACCCCTTGTTCGCCTTCAGCTTTAAAATAGAATCAAATTCATTCATTCTTTCTATCATTAGTATATTTGTATCTTTTTTCCTTCTTGCAAGGAACTTAAGTGACTTGCACGGTGGGTTCTGCTCCTTGTGTTGCCCTCACAACAGCCTGGTGAGGTAGGTTAGGCTGAGAGTCAGTGACTGTCCCAAAATCACCCAGTGAGCTTCAGGGCCAACTGGGAACTAGAACCCAGATCCATCTTCTTCCATCCAGCTTTCTTCCCTGTCCAACTTTCATGCCCGTCCATAGTGCTTAGGAATATAATGGCATGAATGATCTTGGCCTTGGCCTTCGGTGAAACAACCTCACACTAGGAGAATCTTCCCTAGTTCCTTCCTTGCCGCCCTTCCCAGTCTCTGCCTTCTTGGAATTTCAAGGCTGCCATTTCCCTTTGAGTTGATGACTGAGCTGAGGGTTGCAAAATCTTTCACAGTTTCAATTCTTTATTGTTAACAAAAGAGCTGGGTAGGTTTGGCCTGGGGAAGAGGAGGAACAATGGGGACATGGTGGGGTCTTGAAATATCTGAAGGCAGTCAGGCTGAAGATGTAGCCACCTGGAAATGGAAGACCGGCTGTTTGGCCTCAAACTGTCAGGCTGAAGATTTCTGCTTAGTGTGAAAAGTGTCCTAATGGAAATTGCTGTTGGGCAGTAGAGCTGCCTTGGAAGGGGTGGCAGAGACTGGATGCCCGTCTAGCAGAGATATTGTAGCTGCATTCTAACTGCAGAGTTGCAGTGAGCCATGAGTCAGACTAGATGATCTCAAGACCCCTTTCCAAGTCTATGATGGCATGCTTTTTATGCCACTTTCCAGAGGCAGAAAGCTTTGCCTTGTCTACCTTTGATCCAATCCAGTAAGAAAGTCCTTGCCCTAGCTACACAGAGAGGGGAATGTACTTGCCGTATCTCGGCTGTCCACTCTCAGAAACAGAATGCTGGGTCAGCTGGAAGATGAGCTTGATTTAACCCTCCCAGTCGTGGCTCCCTGTGCTAACATACGTTTTTGCTGCCGTTTTAGAAGCTGATGTCGTTTGAAGAAGTAGCTGTCGGGTTCTCGGGAACGGAGCACACGGCCCTTCATCCGGGCGAGGGCCAGCTGCACAGAGAAGCTAAGAAGGAGAGTGACTGCAGCATTAACCTGCTCGGTAAGGCTTGCTTCCCCCCACCCCCTTTCCCATGGCAGCAGCTGGGCCTTAGAGGGAGAAAAGGAGCGATCCTGGGCTGGGGAACGGGGAAGGTGGGACCAAGCCCCACTCTGACTCTTCTTGGTGTACCAGTCTCTTCCTGCTCCCTGATGCTTTATCCAGGCAGGCAGACTGCTGTGAGAAAATGCAGACTGTTGCGAACACCCCTCCCTCCAGCGTTTGGGTACCTCTGAGCCCACCGGGTGGGGGGTGCCACAGATTGCAAGCCAGGGCAACAGATTTCTTCCCTCAAGGGAGTCGGTGCTCCAGATCATGTCCAGGTTCCCTCCTTTTCAGCCCCCCTTTTCTTTTCCAACAGACTGCGTGCGAGTGAATGATCACCAGGAGCAACCGGCCCTGCAGGAGAGTCCCGAGCAAGCCAACCCACCCTGGATGTCCCCAAAAAGGTCCACTGAGAGCCGCTCCCCGGGAACCGAGCTGCAAAAGGCAACCCCGAATCAGCGCAGACCAAAGATCCAGCAAGGAAACCATCTGGGCGACAGGACGGCAGTCTCTGCGGCAAGCAGGAGGGGCCTGGGCGCAGCGCCCCCGTTGCAGACGCGGAGGGCGAGTTCCGGAGAGGACTTCCAGCAGGGTCCAGGCGGAAGCGCTCCCGTCCAGGAGCCGCCCTACCACAAGTGCTCCATCTGCGGGAAGACTTTTGGGCAGAGCCTGCACCTGATCTTCCACCAGCGGACGCACGACGTGGAGAAGCCGTACAAGTGCACCCAGTGTGGCAGTACTTTCCACTCACGCCAAGGCCTTATCTACCACCAGCGCAGCCACGCCGGAGAGAAGCCCTACAAATGCTCCTTCTGCGGGAAGACCTTCAGCCAGAGCTCGCACCTGCTGGTGCACAAGCGCAGCCACACGGGCGAGAAGCCCTTCAAGTGCCCGGCCTGCGGGAAGTGCTTCAGCCGCAATTCGCTCCTCACCATCCACGAGAGAACCCACACGGGGGAGAAGCCGTACAAGTGCTTGCAGTGCGGCAGCCGCTTCCATTCGGGCTCCGGCCTCATCAACCACAAGCGGATCCACGCCGGCGTGAAGCCCTACAAATGCACGGAGTGCGGGAGGGATTTCATCCGGAAAGCACATCTCACGCGGCATCAGAGCGTCCACAGCGAAGACAAGACCGGCACCTGATCTCTCGGGGAAGGGGGAGATGCTCTTTGAGAACTCCCAGCTCATGGGATGGAGGCAATCCTCCCACTAGTTCTGCTCAAGCAATTGCTGCAGTTCACACGGAGTTGAGGAGACAGAGAGAAGGAAGCTTTGGTCAGCCTTGTAAATAAACCCACGATCCTGTGAGCCCCGCAACAGTTTTGCTAGCTTTCTCTGAGGTAATCAACCTGCCTTTCCACGCTGGTTACCAAGGAGGGAAAATGTGCTCTTTCATTGCCAATATAGAACAGGAAGCTGTTGGCTGTTCCGGAGACTAGTAAAAACATTTCCTTTCAATCAGGTGGACTGTCAGAGGAAAGATGGAGTGATCCATTTGTTTTCATGTATCGTCTCCATACTGGTTGTGAAGGAAGAGACTCTTCTTTCATAGCTAGCATGGAAGTCAACGTCTAGCTGCTGGCCTGTACGAAGGTTCCAGTCGCCAGTGGTGACCAAGCAAGCTGTTAAATACAAGGCTGGCTTATGCGGATTTCTCCGGTCTGGTGTTTCTCTCCAGCTGTCTTGTTCAGTGGGGTCGCCTCCCTGACTTTGGGTGCTGCTCTCTGGAAATGGGTCCAGTGTTGTTTAACAAAATCACACCTGTGGTGTGGCCTTCGCAAGTGCAGCCTCCTTGCAGATTTGGGCACTCCCGAGATGTTCGCAGGCTATTTTTCCTCTGCAGGCTGCCAGCACAACGTGATTTCGGTCGTTCCTGGCGCTTGCAAGAGAATGAAAGCTAGAAAGTGTCAACCAAGAACAGCCTGCAAGTCCATTGATGGTGGGCAAGGGAAGTGCGGGCGGAGCCAGAATGGGCCTTCCATGCCAGACTTCAGGGCACCAACATGGGGCAAAAAGCTGGAGCAGGAGACTGCATTTCTAAAGGGTTAACTACTGGCCAAAAGGCGGACAGAATAAGGATGTTACCGACTCCATCCCGGGATGGTCACAAGCCAGTGTGGTCCCTGGTGTCTCCTGGTGGGGCTTTCCCCGGTAGCCTCAGCTGCTGGAATGGATGCTCTGAACCAGTGAAGCACTGGGCACATTCGTGAGACAGAAGGAAAAGGGGAAATGTGCCAACCGCCAGGTACACCTCCAGCGGTCGACCACCTTGGGCTTTTGCTGCTCTCGTGTTGGATGGGCAAAATGCCAGTCGTTAATGAGATTGTGTGGTGGGGCAAAGCTACAGGGCCAGGGGGTGCTGACCGCCTTTCGGCTCAAGGGCTGAGATTGGGAGGTTTTGGCGGGCTTTATTCCAGAACTAGACAAGCGCTGCCGGCAAACGAACGAGGCAGAATCAAAAACAGGCTGACAACCAGCCTAGTTGAGCTAAAAGGCCCCACTGGGGAAATGAAGCCCTTCAGGCAAAGCATTTCCACCTTTTAGAATGGGGAGGGGAAGAACATGCCAAAACACCAAACCTCCCACCCCAAGGGAAGGGGGTGTGGCTGTCTGGAGAATCCTGAATGAATCCAGATTCTGGACCAGGCCCACAGTCCTGAGATTTGATCCCTCTGATAAATGGCAAAGAGACCTGGCTGGATTTTCACCATGAGTAGAAAAGGACGGTGAATCTTTTTCCTAGTGGGGCTCTGTGATCGTTGGCCTGAATTACTCAAAGTGAAGGATTGGGCACCTGGCCCTTCGAAATAAGATTTGGGCAATTGGTTAGTCACCGATCATCAGCTCCTCTTTTGAGCATTTAACTCGATTAAAACATTCAAAGGAAATCCTTTGCTTTCCTGCCTCACTCTTGAATTGGTATTCGTGGCCCATCAGAGAAATAAGCTGGCTTTGTTACTGTGAAACGGTGGGATTCACTTCAAAACCAAGCCATGTGTTCTTAGGAGGACAAATGTTAGGAAAGGTTTCTAGAAATGTGAAGGATACACTGGACATTATTTAAAAGACAATATTATTCTGGGATGCAAGTCAGGTTGCAGTTACCATGGAAAAGAAAAGCAACGTCAAATAAGTCACGGTTTAAAGACACCCCAGGTGCAGTGAGTTTGGCCTAGAAAAAGACCCACAGTGGGTAGGCCTGCTTGCACAGGATTGCGCTGTTAGATTGAGAAAGAAAAGGGTCCTACAACTCCCAGCATTCCATCCACCACCTCCTCCTCTCCACCAGCCATGGCTTTTGAGGGTCTCAGCGATCTTTACCATCGCCGGCTAGCCGATCCTTTTAAACTGCAGGTGTTGAGGACTGGACCCGAGACCGTATGCAAGTCCGCTTGATGAGTCCCAGTCCTTCCGAGAAGCTGTGGTGTCGATTGAGTCCTAGAGGAGCGGAATCAGATTCCTTGTATTTGCTCATTTAGCCCAGAGGGGCCTCCTTGACTTGCTTAGTCACTTTCAGCATTATGGCCTCATGGATGATATGCCAATAGTTGGCCTCTAGCCTGTAACAAGCTAGCAACATCTCACGAGTCTCTTGAATGGGACTTGAAGTCCACACTCTGCCCTTCCCGCAAGACAGTTCCTGGGCTTTTTCCATTGGAGGAACGGCCGCTTAAACACACCGTGAGCTTTTCTGGCTTTTGGTGCATTGGATCTTTAACTATGCGCCAGATTGCAGACTTGAAATGTATTCCATAGAATTTAATGGGGTGTGACCAAGAGCTGAGTGTGTCTCTCTGTCTGTCTGTCTGTCTGTCTTTTTCTGTCTCTCTGCCTGCTTTCACCCTCATTCCTTTTCCTTGACCTTATCAGAGCAGGGCAATAAGTAGACATTGGGGTAGAGCCAGTGTGGTGTAGTGGTTAAGAGCACGAGACTGGGACTCCGGCGACCTGGGTTGTAGTCTCTGCTCGGCCATGGAACCGACCGGGTGACTTTGGGCCACTCACAGACTCTCAGCCTAGCCTACCTCACAGGGTTGTTGTAGTGGGGATAAGATTGAGAGCGGGAGGAGGGGACTGATGTAAACTGCTTTGAGTCTGTAAGAAAAAAGTGTGATCTAAATCTAATAAACAGTTACTTCCATCACATACAAAGTGCTTCTAAGGTACTGCATTTGGCATCCAATTTCCACTGGGCAAGAAAAGAACTGGAGATTTACCATATTTGCAGAATACAGGGAAGCGAGCAGGGAGGGGCCCGCAGCTCAGGAGGCAGAGTGTCCTCACAGCACGTAGAAGCTCCCAGCTCAATCCTGGCCAACTCTGGTGGAAAGGACGCAGTTCCAAGTGACACAAATCCTGGCCGAGGTTGTAGTGGCGAGGCAGCGTAGACACCGGAGGACTGGGTGGACCAAAGTCTGGGTTGGGAAGCTGGGAATTGCTTCCTTCCGGGACACTTTATGGCTCCAGCCAGCACAGATCTTCCTGCTGACGGGCGGTGACTCTCTAGGTTTGGGTCTCCACAGTGGTGCCCTGGATGCCGATCTCTGGGTGGACTTTTCTTTTGGAACCCACCAGGGGCCCTCTAGATTTTTTATGTTATTTCTAGGAATGACATCATCATCTTCAGTATTCCTAGCTAGAAAGCTTCCCAGCATCATCTTTATCAGGCTTCAAACCTGGCTGTTGTGTTTTGGAGCACAGATTCCCACTTCTGCCTTCCACTTTGGCTCTAAGGCGAGTTGCTTTTCTTGGCCTTCTGGAATATGAGGGCTTTTAGACCAGCCATGCCTGCTATGGCGGACATTTTGTGAGAGCGCCCACAACCTTCTCTGGCGGCTGACATCCTGCTTTTGACAGGAGAGGCGAGGGATTGGATCTGTAAGCAGAAATCAAAAGGACACCTCAGTTGCTTCATCTCCAGCTCAATTTCTGGTCCTCTCTCTCCTAACTTTCCAGGTTTGTAACTGCTTCTTCCGTCTTCCCGCTATCCCGTGCTTGCTGTATGAATGCCGTTCTCTGTGTCCTGATGGGTATTCCATTCCAAAAGCCAGCGGGAGATGCTCAGTAATGGGCAGACATTCCTCTGTCCTCAGTGCCCCATGACACCAACTCATGCCAGTCATCTTGAAAAGATCAGGGTGGGGATGGGGTTGTAGTAGAAAGGAAAAGATGCTAGAGTGCCGCTTGGAAGAAAGAAATGCGTATCCCACAGGACTAAAAAGGATGTAGATGGCATTGTCTGTGTTTCTCTCAGAAATATTTCAGCAAAGTAAAAACGTGTGTGTGTTTTTTTAACCAAGAAGCTTTTGAAATAGTTGCAGAGGTATTTTTTTTTGCGCTTTGCGTAGCCTTTTTTGGGGTTTGGGTGAAAGGAAGAGATGGAGCAGATGAGGGGTGCAGGTTTTATTTTTTCCCCCCTTTCCTCTTTTTATAGTGAAGAAACACTACTTCGTATTAAAATGCAAAGAGATATAAGTAGGCAATTAAAAACTTCACCTCTTCTCCAAAGAAACTGACACTGGCGTTGGCAGGCTATTCAAAGTGTAGGAAGCGTTTTATTGATGGCACCAGTGCCTTGAAATGTCTCAATATAACTCTTCGCTTGTTAATCCTACTGAACAATCCATTCCCTTGTAAAACTGGATTTAAAATTGCCCAGAAAATCTGAAAAAATATCGACAGCGAAGGAAACATTTAGCAGTTATGGAATAAGAGGATGGATCAGTAAATGGTTAAAGAATAAAAAGCAGGGTGGGGATATAGGGCAACTTCTCCCAATGGAAGGAGGTCACAAGTGGGTCCCGCCGGGTTCTGTATTAAAACCGGTGCTTTCCAACCTTTTCGCAAGTGATTTGGAATTGGGAGCAAGCAGTGAAGCGGCCAAGTTTGCTGATGGTGCCAAACTATTTAAGGTGGTTAAAACCCAAAGGGATTGTGAGGAGTGCAAGACGGTTCTTTCCAAACCGAGAATGGGATCAAGATGGTGAATGCAGTTCACTGTAGGTAAGTGAAAAGTGATGCATTTTGGGACAAATTTTTTCCCCCAACTTCAAGTGTAATTTTGGGGTGTGAGCTAATGGTGACTGATCAAGAAAGGATCTTGGGGGGGGGGGGGGTGGACAGCCCGATGGAGCA